GCGTTTGTTGTTTTCTAATCAACATTGTTTTAGAAGTAAACATAACATCTCTCGTATTTAAAATTTTTGAATTGAGCTAGTAATATATTCTTACTAATTAAATATTCTATGACCAATTTTCTAAAAATATAAAAACATATTCCAATAATAATTGCTATAAAAACCAAAAGTAGTAGTTTTTTTTTGTTTTGTTTTTTTCTTTTCTAAGAAGTCCTTACGGTTTTACCGTTATAACGTAATAAAATTTTACATTTTTTTGATTTTTGACTCTTCTTATTTACAATATAGCTTTTCTTTTTTAATATTGTTTGATTTTGTTAAAATGTTTTTACTGCATATTCCGTTACCATTCCGTTTTGTTTTATCTTTTTCCTAAACATTTTTAGAATAAGTCATCAAAAAATATTTGAATGTTTGTTTTTATAGTTCACTTTTTTAAAAGGTCGATCTCATTTATTAAATCCGATGTTCAATTTTAAATCTGAAGTTCTCATTTACTAAGATTCCCAGATTTACGTGACAATGTAAGGTATTAATCTATTTTTTATATCTCAAACTGAATAGCTTCGACCGTCATCAGCCCTAAAACAACGCCAATATAAGAGCCGTTTTAACATAAACCATATTAAAAACCTTTAAAAAGATAATCCAACGATAAAGATTCTGTTATTTTTAAATTTTCACTAAAAGTGAAAATTCTTCCCCATACCTTTTACCGTTTTCCCTGTTTAAAAATATTGTGGTTTGCTTTATTTTTTTTTTTTATTAATGTTGAATATCCTGACTCTCCCATTTATTAGGATTCCCTACTATATACTTACTATATTTCTGACCCTCCTGTTTATTATTTTTAATATTAAGTAAATTAAGTAGTATGTATTTAAATTTAATACTATGTATCACATTTAAATTATATTAAGTAATTATTAAATAGTTTTTTAAGTCAATTATTTTTTTAATACTCTCACATGCCAAATAATAAACTTAATAAACAAGAAGCTCAGAAATATAATAAAATCAAATAAACATCTTACTTATTTACGGGAGAGTTTATTAAGAGAACTTAGACTTTCATCAGAGTTAAAAAAAATGCTAATATAAAAGCCATTCAACATAAAGCTTATATTACTCCTCTGTTTAGAATTGTTCTGCATAAAGATTAAATCTTCGTAAACAAGTTCTGAATCATTCGTACTTTTATTTATTTTCTGCGTTGAGCATATGCTCTCTAAGTAGTAAATCACTTTAACAGAAAGTTAAACAACTACAGATTAAAGTTAAGTCACATGATAAAGTTCATCAAGTTTTTTTAAAGTTCAACACTGATTTGATAAAATTATCATCAAACGGCAAGTTGCTCTAAATTAGGATGATGCGATTGGTAAAACTTCTTATAATTCTAAGTAAGATGTCTACTGTTCTCGGATATGTATCTTTAGTTGTGAATATATTAACAATCACTTCTAGCTAGTCCTGTTGGTCGACAAAATTTCCTTAAGAAAAATACCATGTTAAGCTGATAAAATTATTATCACATTTAAAAAAGATAATAAAGTCACTTCTTTCTCTTCTCATAAATAAAGTTATTAAATTCAGTCTTTTTAATCTAAGATTTCTCTTAAATTTTAAGAGAAATCTTAAAATTCGAATTGGTTTAGAAGCACATGCAGGTATGATAATCAAGTTTCAGATCGTTTTTTAATAAGACATCAAGATCGTTTTCACATTCTACAGAAATCAATTGGTAATCTGAAATTTACATTTTTTGATATTTTTGGTAAAATTTGTTCTTTTAGTGACATGCATAATTTTACATTTTTGTATATTTAATTAAATACTTCAGTCATTGCACCAATTAAAAATAAAATTTATATCATCCTGTAGATCATTACAACTGTTATCACGGATTATTTGGAAAATAATAAGTTAAACTTAACAACTATAAAGTAAATTTGTAATGATTTACAAATTTACTTTATTATTATTAAGTTGAATTTATTATTTAGATAAAAAAAGGCGTTCAACAAATACAGTATCGGACAAAACAAGTGCAACCAAATAATGCTAATTTAGTTTCTTTATATAAAAGTGCTGCATTTTTTCAATTTAGAGAAATAACTATGTAACTGTTTAGAGACAACGTTCTTCAAGTTTTATTTATCACAAAGTTTATTATTTATATACGAAAATTAATAAATTAATCAAAAGTATTATTTCCTTCTGGACAAAACAAGTGTCCACAAAATGTTGACCAAGCTGTATTTCGCTATCAATATTTCGTGGTGAATCCTTTGTTGTCGATCACAACCTTGCATCTTCGAGGCATAGATTTGATCAGGTGATCAATGAAACTTTGTGGAATCGCTGCCCAGGCTTTTTGGGTTTGTTCAAACAGTTGATCCTTATTACGAACACCTTCACTATTAATTCTGCGGTTGACGATCTCCCACAGGTTCTCGATAGGGTTGAGATCCGGAGATTGAGGCAACCAATCCATCACCGATAGGTGGTTGTCTTGAAACCACTGCTCAACTACTTTTGCAGTGTGTTTTGGATCGTTGTCTTGCTGAAAAACCCATTTTAATGGCATATTCCATTCAGCACAAGGTAACATAACATCTTTCAGGATTTTTTTTATACATGAAACGGTCCATTATTCCATCGTTTCGATGTAATGGACCTAAACCGTTAGCAGAAAAACACCCCAGACCATTACATTGCCACTACCATGCTTCACGGTCTTATGGCAGTAACGTAAATTGAGGATTTTTCCGGCCGATCGAAGTACACGGCAAATGCCATCGCTCCCAATGATGTTGAACTTCAATTCATCACTGAACAGGAAAGTTCGCCATTTCTGCACATTCCAGTCAATATGAGATGTAGCAAACAGGAGTCTTTTCTTCTGGTTTTTTAGTGAAATCAGCGGTTTCTTTGCAGGGCGTCGAGAAAACAATCCGGCTTCAACAGCAGGTTGTCTGATTGTTTGGTCCGATACAGGCAGGTCTAATTGCTTTTGTATCTCGACTGATGATATCCAGGGATCCTTCTTGATGGATCTGACGATCATAGAATCCTCTCTAGAAGTGGTGGAACGCGATCTTCCACCTTTGTTATTTCCACGTAGAACGATACTTGGAACATAGTCTTGATGCGGTCCATTTTTTCACGCAATAATCACAAATACTTTTTTGTGACATTCCACTTTCGTAATCGCCAATAATTTTCTTTCTTAGTTTCAATCCAAGACTGTCGGCAGCCATTTTTCACTTGAAGTCATAAAAATAACAAAAATAAATAATCACGCTTTTTAAGGCTTACCGTGTTACATTTACCTCGTGATGATACAATAATGCTCTGTGGAACACATCGTCTTGGTTGGATGTGGACTGTATTGATGTAATGAAACACTTGTTGTATTTCACTTCTTGTATTGATGTTTTTCGATAAAACACTATGATAAAACTCACTTCGATAAACTGTCTTGATAATACTGACTGATTGACTTCCATATACTGCCTGAATTACATGTTGGTTAATATGTCTCTTATATAGTAAAATTAACTTGAGTGAACCTGTTCTGGAAGATTTTAGATGCTTTTTTTCGATGCTTCTGGAAGCTTCTGGATGCTTCTGAATGTTTCTGGATACTTCTGGATGCTTCTGGATGTTTCCAGATGCTTCTTCTGGAAACTTCTGGAAGCTTTTGCATGCTTCTGAAAAACTTCCGGAAACTTCTTGATACTTCTGAGTACTTCCCTTAATTATTAAAAAAATTCCGTGACGTTGACACGGACCAGACTTAAGAAAATGAAACAAACCAAAAAAGTTGCACTTGTTTTGTCCGCTGCAAAATGGCACTTGTCAACGAAATTCTGTCTGTGTGCTGTCCCCTGTCAGCTGATTGCTCATGTCATGGCATGCTATGACTCCAGACTCCTGAACTGTTTGCTGTGGTAGTATAGTTCGTTTCGTTTTTAAGACATGTAATATTAGGAACACTTTTTAGCATTGTTTGATGTTGGTTGCAAATATTTTGTCCAATACTGTATGTAAAAGGTTATCACTTATTGTACCATTTAAAAGGTTATCACTTATTGTACCATTTAGAAGGTTATCACTTATTGTACCATTTAAAAATCTTAAAGTTCTTTTCTTAGATATTTTTTTGCTGAACGCAGTGGCGGAGGAAGATCAAGAAAGTTGGAGGAGAAGGGCCAAAAATGGAAATTAATGGGAGCCATGGCAGTCAGAATCAAAATTCGAATGGAAAAAAGCAAAATAATTTCCAAAAACGTTTGGAGGAGGGAGTGGAAGGGCTATTATCCTCTCCCCCTTTCCTGTTCCTACGCCTGTGTGTTCACGTTTACATAAAATATCTTAGGATTAAATTTAGAACTTTTGGTAAAGTCATATTCAAATTATTTCAAGGCCATATCAATAGAATTTTGAGTCTTAGTTTTAATAAGTTTGTATTTTATGAATAATTAGCAATTATTTCTACCTGATGCAATAAACTTTGATCATAATTTTTTTTTTTTTCATTAATTAGTTTCTTTATATCGGATGTAGTTCACGCTTATCACGGTTTCTCATACTTTTTAGATAGTGGGATAAATTATCACAGGCCATTATATAAACTTCTAAAAACACTTTTTGTTATTTCTATCCCCAAATAAAGATTTCCAATAAAATGAATTAAAACATTGTATCATTTTTTATATTTATGTCTTAAAAAAAATTTTTCAGTCATGTTGTTAGAGTTCCCTGTGCCGGTTTAACAACTGAACACTCTGGACACGTGCCGGGAGGCCACGGAGTTCAAAGAGCCAGAGCAATTAAGTGAATATTTGAGAGAGATATAATTTAAAAGAAAAAATTATTATCTTTAACTTCCTTTTATGTCCCAGAAATTTTTAATCTTTGCATAAGACGCATTGCAAACTGGACGTTTTATTTTTTTAACGACTGGAAAAAAAAACTTTTGAGTTCAAACATAA